TCGGGTACCCAGCTCTCGCCAAGTTCATGGCCGTGACTCATCACGGCTACAATGTCCTCAAGATGCCTGGAAGTGGCGGAGTCATCATGGTGCCTTGTGAAGAAAGAGACACAGTGTGCTCCCTGGAACGAGCTTTTCAGGCCGCATCACTTGAAGACCCAGATCGCGGGAGCGGGAGGCTCCCTGAGACCGCTCCCAAGAAGAAGAAGACATCGCCAGGCCTGACCCCTCAGGAGGCAGGGCCTTCAGGGTCTGCACCTGCTTAGGGGGCACCTCCTTCTGTCGCATAGGAAGGCGCGCTCGACGCCCTCCTCAAGCAGGGCTCGGGGGCTCCCTCCTGGAGGGCCACCAACCTTGCTAAGGTCACGAGGGAGGCGCTTGGGCACCACTTGGAGGCGTGTTTCAAAACACATTTCCCTTAGGAAGGAACAAGGCAAGGAGGGCCAAACCCTCAGGAGTTCGTCAGTCAAATCACCCAGGAGTTGCAGGAGTCAGGAGTCATGAGTGGCAGCCGCCGCTTACCTGCCGCAGCTCCCCACCTAGGCGAGGATGGTGGGCTGCACGTCTGCATCGACATCCCAGGGCTCAACCGAGCCGCCTCTCAGGAGCGCTTCTGTCCCTCACGCGTGGGGTGCTGCGAAGGCCCGCCCCACAGCTACGTTCGCATGCCCTATGGCTTGCCGAACGCGGCTGCTGTGCGCCAGTGCCTCATGAGGAGCATCCTGGAGGCTCAGGAGGCCAGGCGTTCCGCAGTCCTGGCAGAGATGGAGATGGTTCGTGAGGAGCCACCAGCGCCACCGGAGCCTCCCGAGGCTCCTGGGCCTGGGGGCTCGTGAAGATCGGCTCCCGCATCCTGCTACGTCTGCTACTTCAACACCCCTTCCTCGTCAATACTATCAGGTGACATCTTTCAAGTTTCGTTTCCGGCTAGGAGCGCCCTCAGGGCTGCATCATTCCCAGGCCGCGTGGGTCCGTCCCTGCGGCGTGTATCCCTTTTGTTCATGTTTCTAGCTTACCTTGTTGGGGGCGCCACTCGGGCTGCATCATCCCCAAGTCGCTCGGGTCAGACCTAGCGGCGTGTACCCCTCTTGCGTTTATTTTCGGGCCATGCATTCGACCCATCATGCTTGTTATTTTATACCTGTCCGCGACACCTCTTCTTCTTTCATGTCGGCCGCTTGCGCATTAAAGGGGGGTACCTGAGCATCGCGACTCAGGGCTCCTATCTGCTCTCCAGCCCTCACCCTCGGGCTTTGTCCACGGCATCCCGCCTTGGAAAACCAGCGACGGCTGAGACTCGCTCGAGGGACGGGACCCGAGGACGTAGAGCGTCGACATTTAGCCAAGCTTGCGC